TTGAGGTTGAGGTGCACGCAAGCATCTTTATGAGGTTGTGCACGTGGAGGCAAAAGGAAATCTGAATGTGCAATCTCAATTTCAACGTTCGCCAAAAATCACCCAGGGGCATCGAATGATGGTCGATCTGATGCGTGAGTGATGGTTGCTGACCTCTATGAACGTTCGCGCACGCCGCCTTGAACCACGACCGACGACGCGACGAGACAGCGTTGAGTTGTCGCGCATCGAGGTGACGATCTTGGCCATAAAAAGTTAACGAACGTTTTTCTTGACGCAATGGCCAGACACGCGAGGTTGCCCACTCTCTTTATCATTTAAGTTCACAGCGCATTTCAACACCAAAGTGAAATAAATAGTGCTGTGAGAAAAGGCGCACCAAGTCTTCCCCCGTCGAAGTTTCCGACGGTGTCCGATAACAGGTCCCTTGCGGGGTGAGCTGGTAGGAACTTTTGTATTGAATGCGAAGCGTTAATTACCGGTATTGCGACAACGGCGCGTTGGCCTACACAAAAGTCAACGCTCGACCTTCGCTGCGTGCGCAGACTTTTTCGGGCCAACGCGTCGTCGCTTGCTGCAGTCTTTGCGCGCTTCTGAAATCGCACCTAATCGAAACGTTGCGTGAGTTTCTGTGAAGTACGCAGGCGCACTTTAGCGCAATTTTATTACTTTAATCGAGTTTAATGGCCGGGGATGTGACAGCACTTAACGGGGACTTCAAAATCGCACTTCACTGGACACGTTTCGCGCGATGCGATTGGCTTAAAACAATGCAATTGTGTTTCATTGGCCAAAATGGCTGGATATATAGCCAATGGGTTGGCCGGATTGCGACACGACACGCCGAATGAATCCCCAGGGATGCTGGGACACCATGTAAACGTTCCTACCAGGATAACACCTTGATATGCAGCGCGGTAGCCCACGAATCTCTTGCCCAAGGAATGCGATCCATGGCCGAGCGTGTACATTAGTTTTGTACTTGGTGTTTTTGTTTGTCAGTATTTCCGTCAATTGTACCAATGACCTCCACAAGCCGCCGTTTCGCAGCAGAAGTTTCGCCTTTCTATCTTGGCCACTGCGATGCCGTCCAGAGTCGCGCCGGCGACGGCTGTGACAGAAGACTCTGCCTTGCTGCGATGCCGCCTCTTGGTCGTTGCGGGCCTTGT